TTTCATGAGGGATTTATAGCCCTGTTTAAATTACTCATCTGAATTTTGGTAAGTGATACCTATGGAGAAAATGATCCATTTCTTTTAGATTTTCCAATTTGATGGAGTATAGGTTTTTAAAGTATATTATGATTCTCTGGATTTCCTCTCTGTGTGTTATATCCCCCTTTCCATTTCTGTGATGATATCTTGCTTGTACAAATAAAGCCTGTCAGAAGGTCAGAAAATGCAGCTTGCCACTAGCTAACCATATGATGATGGGAGATTTCCTTCTGTATGCTGTGAATATATGTTTCTCTTATTGGTTGATGAATAAATGCTGATTGGCTAGTAGCCAGGCATGAAGTATAGGCAGGGCTACCAGACTAGGAGAATTCTGGGAAGAGGAAAGAAAGAGAGATCCACCAGGGAAACACCATGCAGTTGCCGATGGAGCAAGAGGGCCGGCCATCACCAGTTAGCCAAGACAAAGTGGAGATACATAGATGAATAGAAATGAGTTAACAAGAGAGAGTTAGCCAAATAAGAAGCCTGAGCCATCATCCAAACAGTTTATACTTAGTATAAGCCTTCATGGGTTTATTTGGGACTTAAGGCTGTGGGACCAGGTAGGACAGAAACCTCCATCCACACATTTCTAATTCTGTTTGAGTGTTTTCTCTACATTTTTAGTTAATTTGGCTAAGGGTTTGTCAATCTTATTGATGTTATCAAAGAAGTAACCCTTTTGTTTTATTGATTCTTTGTATTGTTTTGTTTCTTTTATTGATTTCAACCCTGAATTTGATTATTTCTTAACATCTACTCCTTTTTCGTGTCGTTTCTTCTTTTTGTTCTAGAGCTTTCAGGTGTGCTGTTAAGTTACTAATCTGAGATTTCTCCAGGTTTTTGTTGTTGCCGTTTAACATAGGCACTTAGAGGTATGAATTTGCCTCTTACAGCCACCTTCATTGTGCCCCATACGTTTAGATATGTTGTATAGTTATTTTCATTCAATTCTAGAACGTCTTTAATTTTCTCTCAAATTCTGTCTTGACCCATTTTTTATTCAGTGGTGAGCTGTTTAGTTTTCATTAGTTTATAAGCTCTGTGTAGTTTTTGTTGGCATCCAGCTTTAATCTGTGGTAATCAGATAGAATGCAGGGTGTTATTTCAATTGTGTTGTATCTGTTGAGACTTGGTTTGTGTTAGGGAATGTGGTCAGTTTTGGAGAAGGTTCCATAAAGTGCTGAGAAGGTGTATTCTTTTGTATTTGGGTGAAATGTTCTATAAATATTGGTTAGGTCCATTTGGTTTATAACATCAGTTAACCCCAGCATTTATCTGTTTAGTATTTGTTTGGATAACCTGTCTTTTGATGGGAGTGGATTATTGAAGTCTCCCACTATCAGTATAATATGTAATAGTGTTTCATTTAAGAACTTGGGTGCCTTCGTATTTGGTGCATAGATGTTAAGAATTCCAATGCTGAGTTGGGCGTGGTGACACACACCTTTATTCCCAGCTCTTGGGAGACAGAGACAAGTGTATCTCTAAGTTTAAGGACTGCCTGGTCTACATAGTTCTAGGACAGGGTTGCATAGAAAGACCCTGTTTTTTTTTTTTTAAAAAAAAAAAAGAAGAAAAAACTGTAATGTCCTCTTGGTGAATTTTTCCTTTGAATGTGTAGTTCCCTTCTATGTTTTCTGATTAGCTTGGTTTGAAGTCTATTTTGTCAGATATTAAAATGGCTATACCAGCTTGCTTCTTAGGTGCATTTGCTTAGAATGTCGTTTCCTATGCTTTTACCCTGAACATAATCAGAAATTCTTCTTTTGGCCTCAAGTCCCTGCAAGGGAGAAGCAAAACATGAGGCATGAAGGAGGCAAAGGTGTTTTGTAAGAAAACACAATCAGCCCGGAGGAAGGCGTCTTAGTGGACTTTAGGATTTACGGAAACCATTCCTGTTCTATAAGTAACTACATGTTAAAGTCACAAGTGCCTCCAGCGTCACCTTCAGAGGTGTGCGTGGAAAACCTAGAGCAGAGAGTGCTTTCCACTGACCATGGCCATGAACCTGAAGTGAATCATCCGTCCCAAGTATATTTAGCACAGGATATTTGAGGCCACCATAACTATACACAGCACTCTGTAGCTTGGAAAAAGCATGGAGTGATTTTCCATGGAAGTTAGGGATGTGTCTAAGGGGGCTGTTTTCGACTACACTGGAAGAAACAGGGCAGCCTCTTCTCTGAAGCATAGCTTTTGTAGCTGTGCATGGATCCTCTGTAGCCTTTCAGTGGTGTTGCCGAGATAAACATGTAAGCTTCAGAGGCTGCAGTGGGTAGCCAAGCACTAACCATTGGTTTTGATAGGGAGGGTGGCTTTTCCATGTTATAACTTATGACAGCAAGTGGAAAATGCTTCAGTGGGTGGGCAGGCCGGCATTTAAAATCAGAACACTGCAATAGCCAGAAGTGCTGAAGTAACAGACTTCTTAGAAATGTGGTTACCATCTGCTGAGAAAGCCTTCCATAGTAGCCACAGACATGCGCTTGCAACCACAGTCAGCTCATTTTTTCACTGAAATGTGGGACCGTGACCTCGATTGACGCCAGCTAGAGCTGTGTGCTTCCAGAGAAGGGAGATTTAGTTTATGCAGACATCCAAAACAAGTAGGAGACAGGTGAGAGAGCACCAAGGTACAATGGGCTTACATGTTACACAGTTTAGGTGACGGTGCTGGGTTTTTTTTTTTTTGTTGTTGTTGTTGTTGTTGTTGTTTTTTTTTATCTCCTGGTGGTGGCTTTAAGTACTGCCCTCTGGGGGGGAAAAATAAAAAAAGAAAGATAAAGGAAAAAAAGACCACAAAAGAACCTAACTACTAGTCTGTGGATTGAAAAAGACAGGTGAGGGTGTGAAGATGCTTGGAGTGATACGTAGTGATTTGGACAGTACAAATGAGGCAACGTGCAACCTAGACGGAAGTATTAGCAGGTGGAAAAGTTCATCCCTCAAAAACAGATGAGAAGTGGCTGACTTGTGTGAAGTGCTATACCTCTCTGAGTCCTGTGGTCTACAGTTGTAAAATGACATTTAGATTGAGTGTGCTCAAAAAATTGTTTTAGCTTTAAGGTTCAGTAAAGTAAAGACGGGTTAAACTAGCAAACAGAACTGGAGATGTTGTCAGTGGTGGCAGTGTGTCAAGCCCTGGGTTTGATCCCTACAACTGTGTACATCAACATAGGCAGTAGGGCTAGGGGAGCCCATTTATGAAGATAGGGGCCCTGCAGAGTGTCCTAATGCCAGGAACAAGAGGGAACTGTTCAGAAGGAAATATTGTCAAGAGAAAAATACCAAAGGAAATAAGGGTCTAAGTGTAGTAAAGAGGGCTGGTGATTGCTAGTCTGTCATGTCCTTCATTGTGGGAAGAGACACTTGGCTGTGACTTGACTTCTTAGGGAGACGGACAGCATCGCATGACACAGACATGCTAATCAAACTGATCTTTGTATCTTCTCTCTGTTCCTGTTGCATTTAAATTCATTACCAAGCCAACCCTGGTGCTCCACACCTACAACCCCAGCATTCAGGATGCAGAGGCAGGAGAATTACTGCAAGTTTGAGGCTACCTGGTTTGAAAACAAAGTAAACTCCAAAATAAAGTAAAGTCATTACCAAATAGTTTGGTTAGTGAGAAGGAGGAATCAAGGAAGGATTTTGAGGCATTTGAACTGAGGTTTGGAGGGAGAACATGATTTTATAAATGGATATGAGAGTCCCCAAAGCAAGGATATACAGAAGCCACTAATACTCTAGCCCCAAAAGCAAGGAAGTCTGCCTTGAGCAGGCACCATTGCCCTATAAGAGGCCATGTTTCCTAAGGTTAAGTGAGATTTTGATGGGGAAATAGCTAGGGGAGAGGTAGAAACTAAGAACTCAGTTGGGTTGTTTGCTAGGCGAGTCCAGCAGGAGAGGCCATAATAAGGTCTGTAGGGGCAGAAGAAAGTGAGGAGGAAGGTAGAAACAGGGGCAGGGGGCAGTGCTCAGTTTACAGCTCTGGGGTTGACAAGGAAGTCCTCTAGGTAGTTTTAAAATACTCTCCTCTGTCATCATGCTTCACTTCTTTTACCTGACATTTGTTTTCCATTTTTTGGATAAAGGCAAGGCAGCATATGCTAAAGAAATCAGGTAGATGTCAGGGTCTGAGTGAGTCAAATAATTCCCCTTGGTTGTTTGCTATCACGTAAGAGTGCATTTTGGTTCAGGACTTTTCTGAAGAGCTCTCACATTGTATTGCAACATCTGCTTCCACATTTTAATTTCCTTCTTTCCTTTTATAGATATTTGCATACTTTTTTTTTCCAAATGAGACCTTTTGTTTGCCACAAGAAAGCTATTACCCAGAATGTTAATGGGCTTTCAGCTATTAAGATGTAATGTATACCTTGAGTATTTAACTATAAATTTGAAAAATCTCCATGAACAATCTCAAAGGAATACTCAGAATGCACTCCTGGTAAATTGGCTCATTTTCCTGTAATTTACTGGAAGTGCTGATAGGAGAGCAGTCCTAATGTGAAAAGTACATTAATCCCTGGAGTTATATTGTGTGGATTAAATTATTACTCTCAAAGAATACAGTGTATGAAGCCGTTTAGCCCTCATTCACACTTGTTATTTAGAATCACAGTAGAAAAACAACCACTTACCTTTTGATGCACAAAATTAGAATTGATACATTTAATATCTTTTAAAACAAGAGGCGGTAATAGTTGCAGTTTTGCATAAGAATTGCTCTTTTCTGTAACAGGGACTGTGTGTCCCTTAGTAGTTTAGAGGTCGGTAATGTAGCTTCTCTCCTGTCAATCACAAGGATGAGCCTTTCTTTATTCTCCTCTGAGCATCTGCCACCTGAGGGATTGCTAGCTAATGTGGCCAACCTGCCCGATCTGTAACTGCAGGGACAGTTAGGGTCGTGTTTGGGATTTCATCTAGCCGTATCTTTTTTTCTTTGTCAGGGAGCTGAAAGTTGTGGAAACATGACTTGTGACAGCAGGTGCTTCTTATTTGGTAAGCAGCCATTTGTGATTCTGAATGACTAAGGAAGCCTCGGCTGAGATCCCACAAAGCCACCAGCTGCAGACTGCACCATGGACCTCAAGCTGGACCCTTCCCGGGATGACCTGCCTCTCATGGCCAACACCAGCCACATGCTTGTGAAGCACTATGTACTGGATTTGGATGTGGATTTTGGAAGTCGAGTCATTGAGGGCACCATAGTTCTTTTCTTTGGTGACGGAAGCAGATTGAGCAAACAGACAAGTTCCACCCAGGAAACCTCCCAGATGGAGTCAGAGGAAGACCTCACATTTAGGACAACTGAATCCTGCCACGCTCCTGAGGCGGATGCAAGTTCCTTCTCGCCCCAGATGGGGTACAGTGAAATTGCGGTCTGTGGTAAAGGTGATCAAGATGCCTTTGATAACGACGGTAACCATGACAACCGGGAACATGCTTCTGAGATGTCTAGCTCAGAGTACTGCTGTGACACAGGGAATCATGGGAGAGAAGATTTCTTGCTAGTGTTGGACTGCTGTGATTTATCTGTGCTAAAGGTAGAGGAGGTGGACGTGGCTGCCGTGCCGGGCCTTGAGAGACTTGCGAAGGCTCCCAAGCTCGCAGCTTCTCCTGAGAAGCTCAGGCGTGAGATTGTCCGTGACCTCGTGGCTCTGCCTGCAGATGGTTGGAGGGAGCAGTTAGACTGCTACACTCGCTGCAGCCAGGCTCCCGGCTGTGGGGAGCTCTTCTTTGACACTGACGATTGGAGCTTACGGATCAGGAAGAGGGGAGCTCAGACAGCTGCTGACTTTCCTCGCGCCATCAGGATATGGTATAAAACTAAGCCCGAGGGACAGTCAGTGACTTGGACCTCAGACCAGAGTGGCAGGTAAGTTACCCAAGGGGTTCTCTGCCCCTAATCTCATGCACTTGAGGGATGATCTCTAAGAAGAGACTGAGTCTGTTGGGGCGGGGGGGGGCACTTCAGCAGGTAAATCCTGCAGCATGCCGAACTGTTGTCAAGAGAGAGTCCTTGATTCAGTTCCAGCATTTCTGAGTTGGGAGCCTGAAATGCTGAGCCTGGCTGCTGGTTAGGATCACTGGTGGTGACTTCCAGGGCTGCTGATGAGTGGCACATCTCTGAGCAAGTGCTTTCTCAAAAAACCCTCGGATCCCACAGCTCTGAGGCTGGATGGTGTGAAGCTAGGCCAACCACGCATGGCTTTCTCACTGTACCGGCCTCTCAGCAGCTCGGTCTCCCTGGACGTGGCCAGTTGTCATTGGACGTGAACCTCCAGTACGCTGGAGAAGCTGCCTCTGAGAACTAAAGCAGTCAGACCTGCTGTGCTGCACACCGGTTTCTTGGGATATGGCTCTTGGTCTCTGGGACCAAAAGACACTGGATCCTTAGAGTCAGGCAGCCCCTTGGCCTCGTCTTACTGACTTTTTAGAATATGAGAATTTCTAAGTCAAATTCCGTTGGTTCTGCAAGTCAGCATGGCGAATCACTGGCGAGGTGGACAGAGGGTTGCTCATCTGTTAGCTGCTGCTGAGAGCGTTCTCGTAGAATGTTGGCCCCTTTGATGGACGTGGTGGTCTCTGGCAATTGCTTGCATCTTTTCCTCACCCTCCTCTCCAAATCCTTTTAGGTTTGCTTTGAAAGTGTCACTCTGACATTGAGCTCTAATTAGCCTGTCCGTTGCTTATAATCTTCCCTCCTGCTCTGGTTTCCAGGCCCCTCAGGGAGTTTACTTTCTGCCGTATGTCTGCTAGAGTTTGAGAAAGCCTTTGGGAAATTGCAGGGTTGGTCCAGTTAAATGAATACAAAAGCATAGTGATTGCTTGTTGTGTACCTTACTGGGCATTCCTTGGAGCCCGTGAAGGAGCAGGTGTTCTTATCTCAAAAGGTTTGGAATTACTGAAGATTTTCGCCAAGGTTGCCCATATAATGCTGTTGAATATTTAAGTAGGGATCTGTAGTTTTTATACTCTCAGATGCTTCACTTTTGAACTAAAATAGTGGGAAAGAAGAAGCTATTAACAGCTGGAAGGTATGTTAGTGGCCTCAAACATGGTCTTCTATCCTGAATGCTAACTACTAAGACAGGCGTGAACCCATTGCAAGCAGAAGTCCTGGTTTCCCTGGAGAAAGGTCGACACAGAATTTGCTCTTGGTGTCTCCATTTGGCATGATTCAGTAAAACACACGGTTGCGACAGAAGCCTTTGCACCACATTTTAGTCTTGTTGTTTGTGGAGTCATAAGAGGATACAGGAAGTGTTGATTTTAGGAGGAGATTCCAGAAAGCTGCTCTTTCCCTCACTTTCCTTTTGGAGGTGAGACTTTGGTTAGAGTTGAGATTCCCTTGCATGGGTAGCCACAAATTTCTTGAAACTCCTCCATGTGCCTAAGAATAAGATGCTAGGTATGATGGCTTCACACCTGCAATCCCAGAGACAAGAAGTGAAGACAGGAGGATTAACAAAAGTTCAAGGTTAGACTGGGCTGCAGAATGAGGCCCTACTTCAGATAACTTATACAAACAGGCCTAAATGCTTCCAGGCGACAGTCTAGGAACTAAGAACTTTCAGTTGACTGAAATTCCATGTTAGGGACATAATACATTTATTTCCTCAGTGATGTGGACTTTGATATGATGGGGTGAACAACAGCGTTTCCACGGAAGTAAAAAAGTAGTTTTAGTATCTACATTCGTGAAAATCCTGTAGTAATTATGTCAGTATACTCACCCTCATGTTTACCACAGACTGCCAGGCCTGCATGGGATGAACTTTATTATCCTCCACAGACAAGACTTGGGTACAGTGTCGGGCATTTCTGGAGAGGCAGGTTCCATCAGTGGCTAGTGTTTATTCCTCATCCCACTATCAAGACTAGACCTGCAGTCACTTTTGTTTGGTAATAAGCAAATGTAGTCATAGCATTGTGGAGGGCACGCCACCCCAGGATGGAAAGTAAAATGTGAAGTAACCTCCCTAGGTAATGTAGGACAGGTGTCAACCGACCTAACTTTGCTTTTGTTTTCTTTTATACGCATGCATGTACTTGTGCTGTGCATGCGTGTTCACATGTATGTGCGTGCAGATGGAAGCCAGCAGTTGACACCTTGTGGCATCTCTCTCAATCACTCTCTGCTTTATGTATTGAGACAGAATATCTTCCCTCAACTTGGAGCTCACTGATTCAGCTAATCTAGCCAGTTTTCCCTAGTGTGGTGATATATTATTTATGATTTATTAAAGCTTGCTCGAGGATTCAGAAAGCAAAGCAGCTGGTCACTAGCTCTTACTCTACCTCAGAGCGAAAGGAGATCCTGGTTCCTTGTAACCTCTTCTCGGCGTGGCTGGAGAATCCTGAGACTTCAGTGTCTTCCTATCCTCAATGTGGCTGGAGAATAAATATCTGATACTGATTCCTGAAGACCCTGCTCCTATCATTTATACCCCTCTAGTGCTGGAATTAAAGGCATGTGATCCCAGGTGCTGAGATCATCTTTGTGTGAGCTGTTTCTCTTTAGGACTGGATCAATCTTGTGTAGATTTGGGTGGCCTTGGACTCACAGAGATCTGTCTACCTCTTAATCCTGAGTCCTAAGATTAAAGGTGTGCACTACCACCTCCTAACTTTATGCTGCTGGGATTAAAAGTGTGTGTTACCACTGCCTGAACTCTATAGCTTGAGGCTGGCTTTGCTTTCTGAATCCTCAGGTAAGCCTTAATAAATCATAAATAATATATCACTCCAGGGGCTTAGCTGTTTTTTTAATTCTAGGTCCTCAGGACACCTAAGAAGCTGTGAAAATGTAAATCTATTTACTAGCATGTGCTTTCTTCTTTTTCCTTGCATTTCTTGAAGTTTTTCCATTCTGGTAAAGGAAAAGTTATTTAAAAGTAAGGACGCTCTGCTAAGCGTCCCTTCCCACTCATGCTCATGATGGCAGCTGGGGAAGCAGCCAGCTGCCCTAGGAAGTCTGGCTTCATTAGCCAGTGATGTCGCTGAATGAGAGCTCAGTGGAGGAGATATTGAGTTCAGCATCGAAAATGTATTTCAAAACTATGATTTGGGGGAATAAATAACCTAAGGAAATAAATATTAAACTTTTCTACAGCATTTGTGGTGTTTCTTTGTTTCAGAAAGGGCCAGGGTGAAGCTGGTAAATGCTAAGTTTTCTGGCATATTCATTCAGATGTTGGACTGAGAACAATGTACACTACTAGTATTTTTAGATTAACATCAAAGCCAGATGTGAGTCATGCATACCACTTCCCCCACTGAATTAGCTTCATTGCTTTATAGCTCACCACACAAGAAAGCTTTGAAAAGAACGAGAAGAGCAGCTCAGGTTTCTGTTTATTTAAATGATTTTATTTAATATTCATACATGCATATAATGAGTTTGGATCAAAATCTAACTTCCATCCTGCCTCCCAGCTCCTCCCCTATCCCCCTCCACCACCTTCCTCCCTTCTCTTCTTCCTCTCCTCCCTCTCCCCCTCCTTTCTCTCTCTCTCTCTCTCTCTCCCTCCCTCCCTCTCCCTCTGCCTGTATATGTGTGGGTATGGTTGTATGGATATGGGTTTTGGGGGGCATCCACTGGAGTGAGGATTAACCTCTCAGAAGCCCCATCCTTGGAAATCTATGCTCTCCTCCAGCAGCCATCTGTTGCCAACAGCTCCTCAGACAGGAGTGGGACTTCACGAGCCCCTGCCACATTGGTGGGAGTTTTGTTGGCTTGATTTTATACAGATCTTGTATAGCTAAAACTTTTCATATACTGTATTTTGACTTTCCCTCTCAAAAAAAGCACACAAAAAACATGAAAAAACATAAATAAAAAACAAACAAGCAAAAGATCGATAAGCCGAAAATGCCAAAATGAAGCAAAAAGTCTACAGAAATGCCACTGAGTTCATTTTGTGTTGTCTGGGGACCTGTCCTGGGGTGTGGTTGATACCTACCCAGTGGCCCTCCACTGGAAAAGGTGATTTCCCCTTTGTCAGTGGGTATGAGCTGCAGACAGCTTTGAGCTGCCTGGCTTGAACATGTGCAGCTCTCGTGCAAGCTGCCACGGTCTCTGGTGAGTTCATGTGCGCATTTGTTGTATCTGGAAGGCATGCACCGCCACGTCATCTCTAGCTCCTACAACCTTTGTGTCTCCTCTTCTGCACAGGATCTCTCAGTGTTGGGGATCTTGTGTATGCAGCCACAGCCATATGAGCTGATGTGTGCAGTAGTCCTGTTCCATTGCAGAAGTCCACTGTCTCTTGACTTTTTCTGCTCCCTCTTTCTGTCATGACCCCTGAGCTCTGGGGATGTGACACAGATGTCTTGTTTAGAGCTGAGCACCCCAAAGTCTCGTATTCTTGGCACAATGACCATATATGTAAGTCTCTATATTAGTTGCTACCTCCTTTAAAAAGAAGTTTCTCCATTGAAGGTTGAGAGGTGCGTAAGTACTTAGAGGCAGTTTAATACTTGGCTAATATAGTAGAATTATAGTATGGGGGTTCTCCGCTAGAGCCTATGACAGCCTGCAGTGGGTTTTTAGCCCTGTCTATGGTAACAGGAACGGATTCTGTTTTGTGGAACAGCCTTTAAGTCCAGTCAGAAAGTGGTTGGTTTTCTCCCATAACAAAACATTCATGATGCTATCACACCAGTGGGCATATTGTTCCAGGATAGTCATCGTAGCTCATAGGCTTCGTAACTGTATATGATTTTTTAATTCTTTCTCTTCCCCAGTAGTATATATAGAACCTTCCAGCACTGAGAAAGCTAGCCAGTAGTGTGATGAATCTTGCAAGTGATTCTAGCTTGATTTCTCTTGTCCTGTGACTCAATTATGTGGTATTTTCAGCAGTAGGGTCT